AAAAGGGGATATCTGCAAAGATTCCTTCACTGGTTCGTCTCTTATTTAGAAACAGAATTTTTTTATGGAAACAAAGACGAAAACTAGAGTACAGTTAACCGTACAATACGTTGGTAATAATGTGGACCATAGAGGAAGGACTACTTTTGTATTTTCGATTATAAAAATCAAAGTGCAGATGCGTTGTCACCCCTTAAACAACTAAGTTGTAAATGACTCCTTACGAGTATCTGGTTGCTCTCTCGCCATACGAAACACAGCGGCATTACGCTGTCATTTTACCTATTCAGTGAGATTGCGGCTTTAAACTTCGCCGGTCGTATCAACCTATTCATGCTAGAGACTTTACGGTTTCAGCGTGCCTGGCAAACGTAGTGGAAGTATGTAGAAAACGAATTGAAAAAAAAAGTTTAATAAACGTTAATTTAATTTAGAAAAAATTAAATGTTGTTATATATGGCTTTACTTCTTAATAATTTAAGTAATCGTGATACTATTTCAATTTTATTTTTAATTTACCTAAAGTCTGGCATAACATTTTTATTATTGAAGATCCATAGTTAATTTACGCAGTTAAATTACGTAGTCATGTATAAATTAATTAAATTGATAATGGTCATTACTTAGAGAATGTCATCCATTGTGAGTCTGGTGAACTTAAATAGTTTGATTGACACGTTATGATTACTAACATAACAATGTTTTCTTTTGATGTCATTAAACTACTTACAAAACTCTTAATCAATATAATACATTGTTTCATTCAAACACATTACATATTTAGAGGCTTAGAAGGGGACCGAGCGCCTGATATTTTGAAGCCATTTCAATTTTATTATTCATTTTATTTTATTATACTAATTTTCAGATGAATCTATAATAAATAAAAGAGAAGATATTAAGAGATAAGATTTCAAAGATACGTAAAATCATTTAAACCAGTGGAAGAGTAGTATAGCGAATGTTTACCATTAGCAATATTAACTTTCAAAATTATAATGGCGGCTGTACACTCTCGACTAGGGCCCACGAAGCAAGGCGAGGACGACTTCGCTGAGTCTTGCCTTCACTCGCCTCGCCTCGCGTGCTCTCGCGCTCGTGTCGCATTTTGGTGCGCGAGTCAAAGAGCCTCGCATTCCCTCGCGAGTGTACACTCGCGCTTCGTTTAGTCTACCGCAAGACGTGCAGTATATTTGGTTATCCTACTACCACAAACTTATCATGTGGAACTTGAGAGCAAAGTCAATTTTCTTGCATTTATCAAAGTGAACCTATTTTGTGGGAGCCCACGCATCGTACCACAAAGAGAAAAATCCATCCGTCCGAAATCATGCGTCCATCTCCTCGCCGTCACTCACCGTAATAAACGTCGTCACACTCGTAAAAGCGCCTTCTCGTGCGAGAGGCTCGCGAGAGGCATGGCGAGTGCTCTCGTCGAGAGTGTACAGCCGCCATAAAAGATAAATTGGCGCGCTAAGTAATGTCAAAACTATTTTGAACTACGGTTTTGTACTTTAAAATCCCTGGTGGTAACGAAATCCTTTTAAATAATTATCTAGAAAAGGATCTACAAAAATTACTTGAACTATGTGGAGTTTTCATAAACCAACACATTATTATAAAATATTTTAATTATTATTTCTTTTTTTATTTAGGAATATTAAATTTGGTAAGTTAACTGATTAGCAACGCGAGAATTCCATTTATAGGAATCAAAAAAAAATCATTATCGTAATTGCCAGGCCTGGGTGCACACATATACGGCCCTGAGACAACCAACGGGTTGTTTCAAACCACTCTGACTGTTTTAATCTATGTTAACCTTTATTTTTTCATAAAAATCATCTATGAAACCCACATTTTCCATATCACACAAAGCATTAATAATATTTTAAATTTCTTCATGAATAATAAATAAAATATAATTGTTAACATAATACATAGAAAGCGTACATAATACCCACTTATCGTCAGCTACTCACTACGGGCCCGCGGACTTCGCTATGCGACAAGCAAATGGCACAGAATAAATTGCAAATTGGTACATACAATGCGTGTTTTCTGTGACATTCATGAACATCCTACGAAGACGAACGAGTGATGAATATGTGAGACACTTGTGCGAAGCTTCAAAAGTAATTTATTCATGTCCAGGGTGCGTATACTTACACTGTGCGATACGTCTGTGTGACTAGAAAATATTGTTACGAGCTTAAGGTTCGTGACAATAAAAACTACTAAACTACTAAAATTGAGACTTTAATTACTGAACACCAAGTAAAACTTGAATCAGACTAATAATTATTCACACTTAACACTTTAGTTCACTTTATTTCACTCCGAAAGCTCCGCTCGCATCGCCAATACAATACTGCCCCAATTCTTCAATTCGATACAAGATGGCGCTGGAGCTGGAAAGTTCCAGCATGGCATTTTCTAGAAAGCTCTCCTCGCTCAGCTACCCGACACTAGATGGTGTTAGGGGCATTATTTATAGCTTGCAACAATATCAATGTGAGTGTTGGATAACAAATTCCCACGCTCAAGAACTATGGTCTTAATGTGATTAAGAAAACGCTGTCGTTATTTATGTGCGTATTTTGTCAGCGTGATTCGAAGTTTATTTCAGGAAAGTGCCTATGTTATTCTATATCGTATTTGGCTAAATAAAAGTTGCGTGGCATATTTACCGTGCCAGCTATAACACAGTATCCTGAATTCTCGGTCTAGTAAGTATACATAGAAGTCTTTGATTTAAAAATACATATACATTAACACTCACGCCTGTCACCCAGAGGGGTAGGCAGAAACTACAGACTTCCATTTGGCACGATCCTGAGACACTTCTCTCGCTTCCTCCACATCCATATACCTACTTAAACATGCTCGTCGGTTAAGGGTACTCCCAATTTGGCCCATTTTCAATATATCGCCAATTTGGTCATAGTCATAGTCATTTATTCCATAGAACAATATTACATTGTATTGGAAAATTAATTACACAAAATCAAAAATTACGTTTACATGCAAACTTAAATAAAACTAAAATCGAATGAAATTTAAATATCATTTGACAATCATTCTATATACTCGTACTTATACATTTAATACTTTTCATGTCATAATTAAATATTTTTCATGTTATAATAGATTAAAATATAGTACATAAACAAAAAAAAATTAACATTCATTAAGTTTATTTTTGTCATTTAGGTATTCGTCAACTGAGTAGCAGCTTTTCTTAATTAATAATGATTTGAGTTTATTTTGTAATTTTTGGTGGCAATAAATAACTTTAAATGAGATAGGTAAAGAATTAAATAGTGCAATGGCTTGATGCCTTGTGCTGTGGCGTACAACATTCAATGTTGGTGTAATTGAAGTTTTTAAATCTTTTCGACGTGTCATTTCTCTCTTTTTCCTTTCTTCGTTTGTTTCATATTTGTAAAAAAATTTTTACTAACTATGTAAGTGAAACTAATATGTACAGAGAGCGAACCGTAAGTATGCCAAGGTTTCGAAAATGTTCTTTACACGACTCAATTTGTGGAATACGTAACATGGTGCGGATCGCTGTTTTTTGTAATACAAACGCTTTCTTATTATAATATTTATAACTGTTGCCCCAGAATTGTATGCTATAACGAAGTTGTGATTCTACTAGAGCAAAATAAACCAACTTAAGCTGCTTTAACGTAACTTCGTCTCGTAAACTTCTTAAGGCATAGCTGAACTGATAGTAGATTCTAGTGCTGTCATTTCCTTTTTCCAGTTCAAATACATGTCAATGTGAATTCCTAGAAATTTTACTGATTTAACAGAGTCAATATTTTTACCGTCAATGTTCAATGTTCAAAATTTGAAAAGCGCGTACGTTTTATTTGTATTTAGTAGTAGATCGTTAGTAGCAAACCAATTTTTAAAGTCATACAGTGTGCTTTTCATTTTGGTATTTAGTTCGTCTATCGAGTTAGCAGATACAATCGCGTTTGTATCATCCGCATAAATAGTTAACTTTACGTCTTGCTGTTTGGTATGTATGTAAGCAGTTAAATCATTAATGAATATTATAAATAATATGGGTCCCAAAATGGAGCCTTGTGGAACACCATTCTTTAAGGTTTTCAATTTAGATTTGTATATCGTTTCGACGCCGTCTATTATTGTTTTAATCTCAACAAATTGTTTTCTATTTGATAAGTAGGATTCAAATAACCTTAAGATTGAGCCACTAACTCCGTAATGTTCCAATTTCAGTAGTAGTATATTATGATTTATCGTGTCAAAGCCGAACTCTAGTCTAAAAATAGACCTCCTATCTTATATTTATCATTGAGTCTATATAATACATCATCGACTAGCGTATTTATAGCATCTATAGTACCTACACGCGTTTGATAACCAAATTGCCTCTCAATATATTATTTTGTCGCAAATGTGCTACTAGCTTCTCATAAATTTTTAATAAAATTGGTAGCAAGGAAATCGGTCTATAGGTTTTGGGGTCCATTTTACTTCCCTTTTTATGTACTGGAAGTACTCGTACAACCTTAAGCTGATCAGGAAACAGATTGTTCCACACACTTGTTGAAAAGATAAGCTAAAGACTCAGCCAATATATCAATATTATCTTTAATAATCTTGATAGGTATTGCATCATAACCATGTGATCTTTTATTTTCTATTTCCTTAACTGTTTTTAAAATTTCATGGCTAGTTATAATCTTAAAAGGCACGTCTGTTACAATTTTCTGCACACTTTGTTTGAGAATTAATTGTGCGGAGATTGAATCACTAGCGTTATTGCTTAATGAATTAGTTAAATGAATTAGGTTAAGTCGATAAACTTTCGTCTAGGGCGTCACTTTCAGTCTCTTCTATTCACTTGTGCAACATAAATTTGCTTTGTCACTCTATCCTCATTCATTCTTTCCTCTCATTTAAAAATATGGAATTTCTAAAGTAAGAAGTTCCGTTCCACCTTATTTTATATAACTTACCGCTGCTCTCCCGCACTCGGAAGCTGGTATTTTTGCTGAGCACGGACGTCTCCCTCACCAAGCCTTCCCATTGGAGATTATGTTTCGTCTGTAAGGTTAAGTATAAATAAGTAATTGAGCCTCCGGTTCTCTACACTAACCACACGAAATACAGCAGTATTGCGATGCTATTTTTAAAATGGTTTTTCGACAAAGCACTTTGTTTTTGATTAAGAAACAAATTAATGCTGTTAAAAATTATTTATATGCTAAGAACCGCGTCATCATCATCATTACAACCCTTCACAAGTCCACTGCTGAACATAGGCCTCCCCCAAGTAAGAACCGCGTAATAAAATAAAATAATGATGATTTCTTATGTGGCCGTGGAAGGAAAAGGGGAGATCTCCCGCCGGGCAGGGTGTTCTGCCCGGGGAGCGGCTTCACACTCCGTGTGATAGTTCGGAGATGTTCTAATATGCTGTTTATAATTCGGAATGTTGATAGCGTGATTTAGACTTCGGTGTGTTTCGCTTGTGGCGCGACGACAGTGCCGCTACATCACCCCCTGCTCAGACCGGAGGTCGATAGTGCAGCCTCGTTGCCGACGAATGTGCAAGTGCCAGGAGATTGCCTTGTAGTCTGCGGTGAGTCGAGAAGAAGGCAAATAATCTGCGATAGTGCCGTGAAGCAGAGGCGAGCAGTAAGGCTCAGAGCCTTGCTGAACACTGTAGCGCAGAGTGTAGCTTGAAGGAACAGGAAGCATTATTATTCCAGTGCTGCGATGAACCTTGTGAAGCTAGATGGCTTGCAGGATATGATAACTGCTGACGATATCTACTCGGGAGCGAATGGGTGGGGTATTCTATGACGATGATGAAGCTTGAAGTTTCCGAAGGTTGTTTGGTTGCGTGTTCAGATCACGTCGGGGTCACCACTGTGGCCGTGGTAGGAAAAGGGGAGATCTCCCGCCGGGCAAGGTGTTCTGCCCGGGGAGCGGCCAACACTCCATGTGATAGTTCGGAGATGTTTTAATATGCTGTTTATAATTCGGAATGTTGATAGCGTGATTTAGACTTCGGTGTGTTTCGCTTGTGGCGCGACGACAGTGCCGCTACACTTATATTTACGCGAACACTACCACATTTAAATAATAATCGTTTTTACGGATTTTATCGCGTATATAAACTTTTTTATGTGGCAGTACAGCAGGAACACGCTAGACTGTGGCCGACTGCACTCGTTCACTGTGACGTAAGCGCCTGACCCGAAGCTTGTTGTCATGCAAAAGTTGCTCGACATGTTGGAGCTCGGCAGCCAGGTGCCATATGTCAGAGGAGTCAATGACAAGATTACATCAGGCTACATCTTGAAGCGCACTTCAATTAAAGCTTACTTCAAGCCTCCGAAAAATATTGGTCAGTTTTTACCATCACTCAAGTGTAATGTCCCTCTGCAAGATGCAGGAGTGTACAAGCTTGATTGTGAATGTGGTCTCTCTTACATAGGACAAACTAAAAGATCAATTAAAAACCGCGTTAAAAAAACATATAGATGTGAAGAATCGACGCATCAGGAAGTCTTCAATCTGTGAACACCTACAGGATCACGCCCGTCACTACATCAGATTTGATAGACCACAAATCCTCGCTAAAGAACACCGATTCCTTCCAAGGATTATTCGCGAGACTATTGAAATTAAAAAACATCCTAATTTTAACAGAGAAGATTTCTGAGTTCTACCATTGCTTGGGATCTTATAATTAAGAAAATTAAATCCCAAACCAAGCATACGACTGCACGACTTCAAGATACTATAAGTTCATACTACGTAAATCGAAACAAAAATTAATAATTTTAATATATGGTAACCGCGGTTAATAATGACATCTGGACGTTGAACATTCTAGTCCCCCCTCCCCTCCCGTGGCCATGGGTGCTGTAAAGTGCTCGAAACGTCGGATATATAAAAATGTTAATCTACGCGACAAAATCTATAAAGACTAGTATTATTTAAATAAAATAATATTTACCTAGTTTGAAGGGCACCTTCCACCACTAGTCTCAGCACCACTACACTAGGAAACCACCGCTAAAGAAATAAGTGCAGCCACTACACCTGAGGAAGCCTAGTTTAGAGGGGAAACACGTGTCGTATTATCGACGATGGTGTGTCTTTTCTAGTATAGTGATGTTGAGAGTAGTGGTGCTGGGATTAATGGTGACGGGATTAGTGCACGCGAGGGAGGGCGGGAGGTTTTCTTCAAACTAGGGTAAGACACATCATTTTATTTTATTGCGCAGATCTTAGCTGATTTATTTTAACATCTTTAATTCTTAGGTTAGGTTAGGTTAGTATTCTGCAAAGTAATGCCCGATTCTATTAATTATAAGTAAAAAAATATATTAGAAATAAACTCAGGTTACCGCGGGGGATGTGTTGAAAGCCAAGTCGAGTAGCAGCCCTCGGTCCAGTAGCCGGTACCCGGACCATGGGTACTCGTGATTCTGCTGGTACACCGATGCAGACAGTCTGCAGAGAAAAGGTTTCTTTTAAATGTTACCGTCAACCTAGGATATAATAATAATATAATCACCCATATCGTGGATGCAGTTTACAAACATAAATTGCAAAAGGACAAACATCCAGGCCACGAACAATTATTTGTAGGTCATACACATAACTGTTCCTGATTGTGGGATTCGAAACTGCAGCACTCGCTCAGCGTTACAAGTCATTGCTAAGCCACTCCTCTCCCTACACACATGGCATTAAAGGCGTTAGACCATTCCTGGACATGGCATATCCACGATTTTAAATAAAAATAATGTAACTTATTGTCATTATAGATCGTAAGTGGTTATTGTTATCTACGGACATCTGCAACTAACTTCAAACAAAGAAAGCTACAGACGGGTTGTCACCTGAAGTTTGGTTGCAGAAAGAGGTAAGATAGGGGGGGGTTTACCCAGACGGATTAATAAACTGAAAAGGAGCATGCCACATTATTAATCAATAGAGTGTTAATGTTAATATCTCCTACAATAACAATTTTTTGTTTCGGATATTTGAACAAAAGTTTACTAAGTAATAGTTCAAAATTGTCAAAAAACGTTTCAAAATGCATTTTTCTTGTGGCGGTTGCGGCTCGGTAGATTACAAACAATTATAACATTTTGTAGAGGAATCGATACGGAGCAGCACTCAAAATTAAAATTTGTTGTATTGTTATCATTACAAATGGAATTTCTTTTATATGCTATCCCTTTTTTAACTAATATGCAGGTGCCACCTCTTTTTTTATTCCTTGAATAATGCGCTACAAGCACGTAATTATAAATATTTATATTTTTTTCCTCTCCGTTTATTATAAAAATCTCGGTGAAACATAGTACATCAGGGCACAAATCACACTAAGTTCCGATAGCGTTATCTTGATAAGTTCCTTTTTAGGGTTCCGTAGTCAACTAGGAACCCTTATAGTTTCGCCATGTCTGTCTGTCCGTCTGTCCGTCCTCGCTTAATCTCAGTGACCGTTAGCACTAGAAAGCTGAAATTTGGTACCAATATGTGTATCAATCACGCCGACAAAGTGGAAAAAAATGTTTTATTAGGGTAGTATGTAAAGTGGGAAATGATTTTTTTTTAATTTCAACCCTAACGTGTGATATATTGTTGGAAAGGTATTTAAAAATGAATAGGGGTTTACTAAAATCATTTTTTGATAATGTCAATAATTTCGGAAATAATCGCTCCAAAAGTAAAAAACAATGTGTCCCCCCCCTCTAACTTTTGAACCATAAGTTTAGAAAATATGAAAAAAATCTGAAAAGTAGAACTTTATAAGGACTTTCTAGGAAAATAATTTTGAACATGGATGGAAACAACAGTACCCACTACCGGGAGCAGTTGCAGGGAGGGAGGGCAGGGAGCGGAGCGCTGCTGGAGCGCGAACATAATGGATAGCCACCTTTAAACTCGTAAGTGGGAACACTTATTGTGACGGACGGGAAACTACGGAACCCTACACTGAGCGTGGCCCGACACGCTCTTGGCCGCTTTTTTTGATAGCAGGCCTTGGATATTTTGATGTAAAATAACAAATTTATTTGAATTTCTATTAGGCACGAAAACAATCATGTACGTTCTTGTTAGGCGATTTTATAACAATGTTAGAAACGTTTCTTAAGCTGGGAAAGTAAAACGGTATTGTGCCCTTTTTAGGTGATGGAGTGTTATTATTTTTTTCGACGGATATATTATTTGAAATACAACTTTTACACTTGAGATTACTTCTTAATTTTGGGCCATTTAATATGTATTGCTGTTCGTATTCTATGTAGTCTATATCTAATATTTAATTTATGGCTGAGTTTATGAAGATGTGATGTTCTGTTATGGTAACTATAACCATTTAATACATGGTCAATATAATAAAAGTACAATTTTTGTAATTCTTCACAGTAAAATTAATTTCAGCGTTTAACTTTTGGACATTTAAGTAATTATTATGCTGCATACTTAACAGAAATATTTTACATCACATAAGGCATTACATATATTTGTTATTATTTCATAGGGATTTTTTCATAGATTTCAAAATTAATATATCATCCTGAGTTAAATATTCGTGTAAATTTTCGCAACTATTTAGTACCTGTGCGCTTAACGCAAACTGTTTCATTATTCCGCAAACGTTATAGATATCGTTACATTTTCCGGACCGCTGATGTTTCATTTTTTCATCGCCAATAATGTGAATATTTTTCTTCTTTGTTTTACTGCAAGCGGCATCTAGTGCATAGGTGTAAGATGAGTTTACGTTTCGATTACTCGCGGTGCTTGAATCATTGAAGTTTTCAACGTAGTTCGTTGTTTTAATCTTAGATGGCGCTGGATGCACCTCTTGAACCAAATTAGTGTTGTTTTCCTCTTTTTCATCTTGCATAAAGTCCAGTGCAGTGCCACTTAAGCTTTTCCTATTTTTTCTAATTGTAATTTTTTTTTGAGTTCGAGCTACAATTTATTTCCAAATATTTTGTTTTTGTTTCGTGGCTTGACAATGATTTTTTAAGGTTTGAATTTTCGAATAACAAATTTTCTATCTCGTTTTTGGCTATTTGCAGTTTTTCTTTTAATTTATTGTTTTGTTTCTTTAGTTCTTCAATCATCTCTTCCATATTAAGTCTATGATGTTCTGGACAGCTGCTATTCAACCGACTGTTTTGAGATATGAATATGTTGTCTGTATAGTCATGATCAGAGAGAGACTCGAAGGAATTCTCTGTCGATACATTTATTATATACTTTTAGTTTTGAGTTTTACACCAGCAGTGGTCACATTTCCATTTAGTTTTGTTTTCCGTAGTCATTAGATAAAACCTTTTTTCGGAGACATTGGTGCAGTCTACGTGGTAATTTTGTGTACAAGTTACACAACGTAGTTGTTGATCGCGTTTTGATATTATTTTTTTGCACTTTATGCAGTGAGTCTCCATCTTGCGTCAGTATTAAGAAAACAATAAGTAAAGTGTCATAACCTGTACAGCTTAGTTCAATTTCTTGGCATTTGTTATTACCAGGTTCAATAGATGGCGAGTTCATTCAAATATAGTGTTTATTGAACTGTATTAAGAGTTATAGTTCAAAACACAATGTTGTCGGTTTAAATAAAATTAAAATTAACGGTTTTAATAGTTCTTGTTTTTGTTCTAAATTTGTAATTTTCCACAGTGTTTCGTATCACATTGGTTTATTTTAAGTTTGTAAAAATGCACATAGTCTAGTTTATATTATACACATATATTAGTATGTATATAGGTTTATATTAGTATATATATATGACATAGTCTATATATATATAATTTCACTGTCACTTGCTCACAATATAAACAATCGTCGTTTTCTCACAATAGTCTTTATATTTTCATAGGATAACGTCAGCACTTTTAATGTTCACAATTTTACACATACTGATCACTTTTGCAATATTTACAATCGAACTTATCCATTTTTTAATTTAAAAATATACACGGAGATGACGTTTACACGGCAGTGGCGCCAGCTGGATTCAGTCACCTCGCCAGTTGTGAGGTATATTTGTAATTATTACACTTAATAACCTTGTAGTGGCGGTATCATCCCGTGGACGTAATAGGCGAAAGAGGGAAACAAATCAGGACATGGGCAGCAGTGTCTTCCTGGTAACGACTAGGAATACAAAACTTCGGTTGTCGACCTGCTTGCCGAGTGAAGCAGCTATGGCAAATATGTCCCCTACGAGGCAATTTATAGGAGGGTCCTATGTTCAGCGGTGGACTTTAATACGCTGTAACGGTAACACTTAATACTTTGACTGGGAGAGAACGCCTAATAGCACTAGGTCCACCCTTTGTAATCCTTTTATTAAGGTGCAATAAAGTGTATATAAATAAATAAATAATTTAATTGCAGTTAACTAACAAAATAGTTCGAGAACAATGTTTAGCACGTAATGGCCGCAAAATGCATACAAGCCATAGATAATAAAATGAGTCTTCCTTGTCGCGTCATAGACATGCACTTAATGTGTGCGGGCCATTTCCTTAAATTCTAACAATTGTGTAATATAATTGGGGGCGTCCATTAATTACGTAAGGTGTTTTGGGGGGTGGAGGGGGTCGCGCTAAATCTCACCTAATCTCACGCGGAGGAAACACTTAAAATTTCGAGAATATTTAGTTAAATTAAATAAATAGCTAAATCCTACACTCAATATTTATCGCGATTATGCGAATATTTGTGGAGTATATATTATGTTAGTTTAATATAATTTTATAGGAAAATAATAAAGCAAATTATGTTTCTTTTTTAAAAAATCCCAACGCAATATAGCACAAATTAATGTATTTACACTAAAAATACGCATTTTGAAAAATCTCACATGACATTTGGGGGTGGAAGTGGAGCGGGTCGAGCCATATCTCACGACATCTCGCCAATGGGAGGGAGAGGGTAGAAAAATCACCAAAATCGCCTCACGTATTTAATGGACGCCTCCTTTTGTGTGGAAATGCGAAGTGTAACTCACACTGGTGTTAGCGCGCTACGAAGGAAAGGCTTGGCAGCGGTGACGCTGAAGTTGGACGTACTGCGATTGCCCACACTGTATTCCGCCTGCAGGCGTTCACCACGCCCCGCCACGTTTGGCATCTTAACACCTGTCCAATTATTGTGTTATAACAGTAATAATAATAATGTCCTCCAGACCGAATTTTGATCACGGGTCACGGCGGCCAGTCTTACTGGAGAGTAAACGTCTGCGCAGGACGGGATTATAGTGCACGAGTATGTGCGAAAGCACAGGTCCACTCTCTATACCCTAACTCTCATAGTCCGATTGGACGGTAATCCGACACGACCGGAGAGAGATCAGGCGCAGGACCAACGACTTTACGTGCTTTCCGAGGCACGGGGAAGAAACAACACCTATACATACAGTATATAACAAGCACCCCTTTATAGACATATAAATGAACATATAGGCATGGCATTTATGACAGTGGAAATTTTTTTCGGTCGTCATTTAGTGTTTACAATAGGTATCTTAATTGAATAAATTCAATCTTGTGAAAAAATGTTATTCACGTCTGAGGTGACATGCGCTTCATTAAAGCGGGGCCTTTGATAAAACTTACTCCCGGCTCAGGAGAGGTAATAAACCCACATACATTTTGCAAATAAAAATTTATTTAAATATTATAGTCTATAACACCTACATCTAAGATTTAGATTAAAAATGTAGATATGTTGTCACCCATGAGGACTAAGTTAAAATGCCTTGTACTTCGGATCTCTACACTCACCATACGAAACAGAGCAGCATTAAGCTACTATTTTGCGCTGGTATTCCGTGAGAGCGTGGGCCTTCCACGGTCTGCTAACCCATTTGTGCTACAACTATAATATAGCTGCTACCACGTAATTTATTATTTCAGAAAGACACGCACGCACACGTGGCCCCGGACGGCAGCAACCCATGCGATACTCCTGACCAGGGTTCTATTCCAGTGTTCAGTACAATAGAAAGAAACACTTTTTTTGACACAGACCATTGACGTACACAAAAATATCCTAATTTTTAACAAAAATACAATATATTTCTAAAATTTACTCAAATACTCGACATAGAATAAAACTAATTTTACAAATTTTATCGCGTTGAAGTTGTTGGAAATATTTTAAATTTCCGACGTTTCAAGTGCTTTACAGAACCCATGGTCACTTTGGGGACTGAGGTTTTTGACGTTCCAATGTCATAATTAACCCGGCTACCTTATATTAATTTTTAGTCCGATCTACGCACAACAAGCTTAGAGTATCTTGAAGTCTTGCAGTAACATTACACAACATAGCAGGGTTAGGATTTAATCTAAGCGAGGCTATTGAAATTAAAAAACATTCTAATTTCAATAGAGAAGATTGATGGGTGCTACCATCTGCTTGGGATCATTGATATAATTAATAAAAGTTAAATTTTAAAATAACAATACATATACATAACATACATAAAAACACTCACGCCTGTCACCCAGAGGGGTAGGCAGAGACTACAGACTTCTATTCGGCACTGGTCGATAGATAAAACCCGTAAAATTAGTTTTATTCAAAAATACAAAAGCTTAATAAATTTGGTTTTGTACGTCGGAGGCGGCATGCAAAAAAGAGTTTATTCAGCATTAGTAGTGGCGAAACCACAAGGCTGTGTTTCAATAGTGACCAATCGACTCACCGATCACTAAGTTGCCCTCATTTTCGCTAACAGTGGTGTTTATACCTCCCACGATCCGGGACAGTTCTTTCACTTGGAATGTCACCTGGAACATGAAATAATCAACTGATAACGTTACATCAAATTGTAAATGTCCTGCTGGGTTTCTTGTCGGTTCTTCCCAGGACAGAGGTATTTTCAAACCAGTGGTAAATTCAAATGAGTGACGTTTAATATGTATTATTTTATAATCTATATTGAATAAAAAATATTTTATTTCTATGTCTAATTATTAAACTTTATGTCATGCATGGATGTTATTGATACCCACCTCGAGACCTTCTGGCGTGGCCCCAGGTCCCGACGACACATCGATGTAAACACCTATATCTCGGAAGCATCCTGTCGCATCTAACGCGCGTCGCACCTGCATAAACAACAATGAGAACTGACAACACCAATGGGTTAGCTGCACTGGTGAAGAACCAAATGCTTCTGCTGCTAAACAGCAGAGTGGCAGAATTCTTGCACAGCTATTTGCAAAAGAAATTACTTAAAATGACTCGTAGGCAGAAAAAAGGCCTTGTAGCTTGTAGGCTTTAGTAAATTCAATTTTGCATTTCCGAATAAATGGACGATTATTCATAGGTGAAAACCAAGCTGTTAAAAAGTTAATCGATGTCTCTAATATTGACATACTTTTATTTCAGAAACCAATAATATATGTCACAATTTTTTCTCTCTCTTCATCCGACTACAAAACAAGAATTTGAAAAATAGCATTAAATCTCAGAAAATAACTCACCCTTCATTTGATAACTTCTAAATTCAATCCTTCAATTTAGACATAAAGGACACTCACCTTATGTGCCCGGAGTATAACATCTTCAAAGTCGGTTGCGTGAAACAGATCATCAACGGCGCTACGTATGATGTCATCTTTGGTACGATTCAGCCCATCCACATGAACTCGATCCACACGAGCCTGTGTATCACAAATACTAACAAAAATTAATAGAATCCATTTTCTTGATAATAGAGCTCTCAGGAGGAATGTACTATATAACCCACTCATCCAATCACTACACCCATTAAAGTCCACTGCTTAACATAGGCCTCCCCCATAAGTTGCCTCAATAGAGAGGGGGAGATGCTGCTGCTTATCTCTTGTTTCAGATTTTCTCTGTCGTGATATAGTGGTAGATATTCTGACACCGCCACCATATGGAGGGCACTGTACAGGGTGTTAGTGTAAACACCGTTATCCTTGAAACCAGTGGTTTGGTTTCACGTAAATTGAATGAATTAAAAAAAAAACTATTTTCTTTCATAAAATTTAAAAAGTTTGTCAGACGCCGTCCGTAACTTTATGGATGCCCTATGCGCCCGAGTGACGTAATCACTGTAAAGATCACCGCTAGCGCTAGCTACCTACACAATATTCGAAGTGTTTTTACACAATAGGTACACATAACTGTGATGTAACTTTTCCTTCATACTTTCATCCTGGTTTAGACAGGCAAAAATTGAGGAATTAAGGAAAAATTGAGATTTTACTAAAAAAATGTTATTTTTCATTGAACTTACGTTCTATAAGTGAAACCAAACCACTAGTTTCAAGGATAACGGTGTTTACACTAACAACCTGTATAATAAAGCCTAAAATGTGGAAATTTTTCATTGAGTCAGCATAAAGATATCATCTAATCCATATACTCTTTTCCTGCTGCACATCAATGACTTAATTCTACCAGGTTTTGTTAAGCAGCGGATAAATGCAACCATAAGTCTTGGCTCTCAATGGGGTGACAAAAATCTGGTCACTTTCAACACCGCCGAAATGCAGGCCTGTCTGTTGTCCGCAAAACTGAATCAGTTTGATCTGACCCCTACTTTTTGAGGCACATCTGTGGAGGTTACTGATCATCTCGAGCTTCTCAGCATACAGTTGAGTACTAACCTCAACTTTAGCGCTAACATTGAGAATTTTATACAAGGTGAAGCGATAGTTCACGCCTGGAAAGCTTCTAATTTTATATAAAGCTCACATGCATAAAGTATTGTAGTAACATTTGGGATGGCTCAACAAAATATCAATTTTCTGCAGACATTCAGTGCAACGCAGCGCCAAAAGGCTTATCAGCGACAAAAAGCTGATGGAAACTAAGCTCCACAGCTTATCTCACTGCCGCCAAGTCGCTCGTTAATCTACAGATTGACCATCAGAGTGTGCACATGAGCTTCATAGGCTTATACTGCCATCTCCGTTCTCCTATCGGAGTACCAGACATACTACAGGTTACCATCCACACTTGGTTGATATTCAAAATATTCGCATTAAGCGCTATAAGTCATCTTTCACAGTGAGCACAGCTAAGGAATGGAATGTATGTGTACAGTGCATATAACCTTAATCTCTTCAAGGTGTGTGTGAACAGGCTTCTCCTGGGCAAACTCTCTTTATTGTAGACCTCATCTTTGCCCTCGGGCCAGATAGAGGTGAAGAGTGAGCCCATTTTAAACAAAAAAATACTTTAATATAATAAAGCAGAAAAGTTTGTTGTTGTTTAAACATGCTAATCTCTGGCACTACCAGTCCAATTTGAATGTCACACCAGATTCATGACGAATAGTACAGGTTATATAGGATCTAGAGGCAATGATGCAGCAGATAAACTGGCCAGAAGGGGATCGGCTCTGGCAACTAAAGGGCCGGAACCTATATTACCAATCCCCTCTTCTGTTGAGGAGATCTCATGGCTATTTTTAGCAAAGCGATTTGGAAAGTTTTTACCAATCCCCTCTGGCTACGTTCGTTCACTGGTACATAGATACTTCAATAATTTACACGCACAGCTTTGAAAAAATTTAGTAGACTGTAGACAAGCTAAGAAGGCCCTGCTTGAAATAAACAGTCGTCTAACCAAGGTTCTAATGAAACTGAACAAGCCACACATCAGGATAGTATCATCATCAATATCAGGATGCTATCACAAGACATGGCTATTTTAACAAACATTTGTTTACCATAGGTGTTACAGATAGCCCCCTGTGCAGAGCATGCATGGGAGAGGAAGAAACGGCGACTCACGTAATGCTGACATGTCCAGAAGACTCATCATACAGTACTAAACATCTCGGCACATCAGGATCGCTCCCCGAAGTTGCTTGCAACATCAAAGGACTGTTGAACTTCTTCGGGGAGATATCATGGCTTGAATAATCATAATATTCCTGCCCACACGCAAAATACGCGCTTAGACGTGGAGTTGCGGAAAACAGCCGGTCGTAAACTAAACTAAGCTATCTAGCATCAGGCTACACCTCACAACTAGCCTTAAATATTGATTTTTGTTAAACAAGTCCTGAACTGCTTCATCCATGTGCACTGGCATAATGGTTAGCGATACGTGGTGTTCTGCAAAAATATAGGTCCTTGCTTCATCAAAAAAAGTTTGCAATACTTTTATACTTTGCAATACAATATTGCCTATTTCTGATACATACAAGTCAGTCAGCAAGTCACAATGCGTTATTTTTGACCAAAAATTATTGAAAATTAAAATGTGATTTATAAATGTTTATTAAGCATCGCATACAAAAGTTACTTCATCACCAAGACAATTTTATGGAAATAAACTTTCTTCTTTATAACATTTATTAGAGATGGGCCAAATATTCGTTTTATATTCGGTATTCGGCATATTCGGCAGCTTTACCGAATATTCGTATTCGGTCGAATATTCGGCTATATCACCGAATATTCGTTTTGATAGTGTCCAATGTATTGAAATTTACGAATCGACTAATGCGATGTCTTTTACTGTTGAAAGTGTAAAATGTTTTATTTATGGGTTAAATCTACTTACTCTAGAGAGCCTCAAATGAATCTATACATTTATGTTTTTGAGGCACTGTAGATTTATTTACGATTATGGCAAATAGAAACTTGATAAAATGTTTTTGGAATCTAACAAAGAAACATTATATTGCATTAATACATTTTCTTTACTTTGGTCGTCAGTTTCTCCAAAATAAGTCCAAATAGTAAATCTCCTGCCGCTCATTTTTATCATATAATTATCAATTTTCACTAAGAATAAAACAACGAAATACTTTTTTATCACAAGAATAGTCAAAACATAAGCATGTGCCGGCAATTTCCTCGGTACTACATGATGCAATAACTGTCAGGTGTGGCGGGGGGCTCAATTTGATTTAAAGAAACCTAAAATACCTTTTGGTCCTTTTATAATGTAACCTTACAACAAAACTATAAGTGTGAAACAGTATAATGATGTTGCTATGTTTCATATGGTGGGTGTACAGAAAGACACTTTTAACTGGTAACAAGGAGTTTTATCTTAGTTCTCAGGGGTGACAAGGCATCAGCATTATGATTCTAACTTGAGAATAGATCTAGGTCTTATTGTCCACAGCATCCAGACGCCATCAGATGGACTGTGTGATGACTGTTAAAAGAGAATATCTTGCAGGATGGGTTCAAAGGTTATTAGTCAAAAATCAAGTAATAAAATAATTATAAACCTCTTTCTATTAGTCGAGCAAAATCAAATGTAATTAACAACAAAAAATAATTAAAGTCAATTAAGTAGTAATCTATCAGGTAGGTATATATTCAGCATTAGACTTTTAAGAATGTAATAAATTAATGAAGTAGTAAAATAATCTGATTATTGATGCAGCATCTATTGAATTCTTAGCGACAACAAGAGGTAGTCCACAGACAAAATATTTTGATATTTTTGACTTGTACATAATTATGGACATATAGAATAAATTTCACGTGGTAGAGTCATGTTGCAGCTATTATGGTTGTAACATGAGTCGGCTCAACCGCGGAAGGACTACACTCTCATATAATACTAGCTCAATGCTTATACATTATACATAAAACATGCTTGTTATGCATATTTAAGTATTCAAAGAATAAAATTTATGTATAAAAATAAGAAAATTAACAGATTTACAATTAGAAGCTTACCCTCACACCATTTAGTTTGATACTGGGTTTGGATATAGGTTCCTCATCAAATTCAAGAGGCTCATCCAACCCCAACAGCCCACCTCCCACCTGCCCAAAACCTTCATTCTGCTGAGCCTGAAATGATTTAATAAATAGGAACCATTATATTACTAGTGAAAGTAAATTGTTAGAATAAAGTATAAAACATAAAATCAGTAAAGTTTTTCTGTTTAGTAGTAAATGTTTAATCAGAAGAGCCCTTATAACAAACACATCTAAATGTCTTATGAGAATACAAGACATTATAATTTACTTTATTTACATATACAATAACAACAAAAAGAAATACATTAACAACATTTTTTCATCTGCTTTTCAAATTTACAGATTTATGTAACAGTATCAGTTGGTTATAATATTATATTACACACACTATTTTCATGATGAGTTTAATATTAGTCTTTACTAAAAAATATTATGCATATTATGCAGTAAGAAATGCAGGAAGTCAATGGATGCAGGCCAGGATCTTGCTCTGGGCATTCCTTGCGGGAGGCCTATGTTCGGCAATGGATTTGTGAAGGGTAGTAAAAGGGTTGTAAAAATTCATTTGCATGACAAACAGATTGAGCCTATCCTAGATTAATACAAAGGATAATTTTTAGTATGTGAAAATTAATATGAAGAAGCTTCTGTTCCTATGGGGGTAGAAAAACATTAATTTATTATATTACTATTTCTTTGTAATTGCATCCAGCGGTGAAATGATTCTAATAATACCAACTAGACAGACTTTATCAAGACCATAAAATATTGTTTGTATGTATCAGCTAGATTTAAAATAGATCTTTAATCTTTTGTTGATAGATAGCAGTCTAGCTATGATCTTTCCTACTTTTCAGTTTAAAGAGACGTTATTAATTTATAAAAGTTTAAAACTATACAGGCGATAAGTGGCTAACCTCTAGTTTAGATTATTATAAATAGGCATTTAAACTTATAACCATATTAAATACCTTAGCGTGAACCGTTCCCATTTTAAGCAACTTTTTAAACAGCGTTACAAGAGAAATCTATATTTTAATTTAGAATTGTATATTTTGATTCTGAACGATTACATAAAAAGTAAAAACACTACATTGACACTTGACAGGTTGACAGATGATAGGTAGGCTTGACGAAAAAATATCGATATATCGATACATAAAATTTTTTGTTCATATATCGAAATTTTTGGGCAATATATTTTATTTCGATATATCGATATGTCGATATAAAATATGTAATATCGAAAATGTACACTGTTTTGTTTGTTTTTGATTTTACGTTACTGTCACTTGATTATCAGAAACGAACAATATTTCTAGCTTGGTATTTAAATGAATGGTAATATTGATAGATTTATTATATTTAACTTGGATAGTTAAAACAAACACAAACACTTTACAAATTCAAAAAGTACCAATATTATTTAGAAAACTAGCTATACTCCATCGCTTACCCCTTAATATCACGTATCTGAGCCGCGCAACAACACGACTGACATTGTACATATAGGTGTTCACCGATGTTTACTCTCCGTTCTAATCGGGCGGCTAGGGACATGAGTCTTGCACGAGCCGAGCCGAATGTTAGTAATTTTTCACCATCTAATTGATAGAATCTGAAGCCACTTTATGGAAATCCATTATAATAAAAATATAAATTACTTCACAACCTTCAGCTAGCTAAATACAATGATGTGTCTTACCTGGATTGAAGAGCACCTCCCGCCCTCCCTCAATTGCATGCACTAAGTCCGTCACCACTAGTCCCAGCACCACTACTACCGGCACCACTATTCCAGTTTTGTCTCTACACGACGCATCCTCCGGTGATGTAGACTTTACGGCGACTGACCGCTAAGTGAGCGGCGAACCGAAAAAGCTGCTATGCTATACACGCCGACACGTCCACTCCCCACCAAAGCAGCGAGTGACCGCGCCGTGCGATAACAAACCTACGACTAATTATCATTATGTGGTATGAGTAGTGTATTCTCATCTGGTTGGGCTGAATAAATATATAAAAGGAAATGATAAATATACATAAATATATATTTCATATACCAGCACAAATAAATAAGTAATACATAAATAAATAAAAGCCCAACCAGATGGAGGCCCTCGGCAGGGGAGATCAAACGGCCGAGAGTTAGGAGCAAAGGGAGAGAAACCGGCGGACGATGCGGGCGGTATCGAGGAGCACCGCCTTCTGCATTTGAGCCTGGAGCGGTCCGTTACGGAGTCCCAGCCTCCTCAGATGACCCGAGAGGCTGACTGGGATTAGCCAGTTTTCAGAAACGACTACAGGAATAATTTCAGTCGGCAGACCACCCCACATGTCGGTCACCTCGTGAGCCAAGCCCAGATATTTTGTTCATTTGTTTCGGCTTTCACGAGGATCTCGTCATAGGGAATGGTAATGTCGACCAAAAATATCCTTGACTGTGCCCGGTCCATCGGCACAATATCAGGCTTATTCGCAGGAATAGTCCTGTCTGTGATGATGGCCCGGTCCCAGTAGAGCCTGGCGCGATCATTTTCGAGCACGGCTTCCGGCAAGTACTTGTAATACGGCAATTTCAGATCCACGAGACCGTATTTCAGAGCGAGCTCCTGGTGAAGAATTCTGGCTACTAGGTTGTGCCTGTGCAAGTACTCGGAGTTAGAAAGCGCCGAACAACCGGAGATGACATGCCTAAGTGATTCGCCGCGATGGCGACAAGCTCGACAGACGTCGACGGTGCCATCCTTTAGGATGTATCTCCGATAGTTGTTGGTCTTAATAACCTGATCCTGTATTGCACAGACAAAACCCTCTGTTTCCCCGAAGAGGTCACCAAAGCGTAGCCAGTAGAGGGAGGCTACTGTGTCTACGAAAGGCTCATGTAGAGCCTTGTAGAACCACCCGTGGAGCTCCTTCTCCTTCCATACGGTCTCCCGGTCGGAAATGCTCTGCACTGCCGGGTCTTGCCATTGCTCGTTGGCTAAGGATAGAGGGGTAACTCTTTTATCACAACAAATGACGTCCTTATAGAATGAATATCATCCTATCTCGCCAGGAAGTAATTACGGAGGCTGCACACTTCGCGATTATGCATGGTGAGCGCGCTCAAAAAGCCACGCCCACCATGCTTTCGCGACAAGTACAGCCTCATTACCAATGATCTCGGATGATGCATCCTATGGGACGTCATAGTGCGGACTTTTCTAACTAGGGCGTTAAGTCCACCTGAGTATGCCAAAGGTATACATGAGGACAGGCATGACCCAACCGTTATATGCGTGTGTCTTATTCACACCAGACAAAAGGCTGTTGAGCGCTTTGGTCAAGCGTGCATAAAACACGTCGCAAACTGATTGTTTCATACCAGCCTCATCGATATCGATGTTCTGTGACACACCCAGGTATCGGTATGTTTCAGTCTCGGAAAGGGTCCTTAAACTGATGGGCATAGATATGTCTATGCCCTCAGAGTTAGCCTCCCTTCCCCTTTCAACATGGAGGACCGCACATTTATCCGTCCTCAGCTCCATTCCAATAGAATTGCTAAATTCACAAGTGATGTTTAGCAATTTCACAAGATGGGAGCGACTGGAGGGGAATAACTTGAGGTCAACCATATATAAAAGTTGGGTCGCTTTTTTACCTCCTTTCCGAAGCTGAAAACCCCTCCCGGAGCCCTCCAGTAAAGTACTGAGAGGGTTCAAAGAGAGGCAGAACCAGATTAGACTCCGACAATCGCTCTGTAAGATACCCCTTCTTATCCTTATGTGGCTTTCCGCAGCCATCATCCGCTCGCGCAGATGACAAAGGATCGTACTCTACTGCCCCATACATTGCTCGAGAAAGTCTAACAGTACAATCTATCTTGTACAGCTCGAGGACTCTCTTTAGCCATGTATGGGGCACCGAGTCGAATGCCTTTCTGTAGTCTATCCAGGCGGCGGAGAAGTTCCGACGATTGCGTTTCACCACTTTGCCAATGACCGCGTCAATGAGAAGTGGTTCCTTGGTTACACGACCACCGTCCCGACATCCATTTTGAGCGCGCGACATCACCTGATTTCAGTCCAGGTGACAAAATGGATGTTAGTGTCTTGTATATGGTCGGTAGACACGTGATGGGGCGGTATTTGCTCGGGTCTGTGGTATCCTGGTCTTTAGGACCCAAATGTGCGATCCCAGTAGTGAAGAGGCTCGGGAGCGTCTTCTGGTTGAGAGCCTCTTGGAACTGTCGGGCAAGCACAGTGTGACACACCACAAACCCCTTCAGCCAGTAGTGATGCAGCCCGTCGAGTCCCGGACTTTTCCAGTTCGGGGCCCTACGGACCGCCTCGGCTACGTCATCCGGCATTATGATGACGTTATACTCGCACAATGACTCGCCACAACTTCCGTCCAAGAGCCCTCGCTGTGATTTACGGGCTCTGACCACAGGCCGCACCAGAATGTTACAATGTCGGCCTGATTCGGTGCTAGGCCCGTTCCACTTGGCATTGGTCGCTCCAATGATTCGTAGAGCCTCTTCTGATCACTTTGGAAGAGACGATTCTGGTTGAACCGAGTCGACCTCTCGGTAATCGCTGAATCCGCTTTCCCCAAGCAGCGATTCTCTGCTTCAGATCATCTATGTGCTCAGTCAGTTTTTGCATTATATCCGGCTGGGACAAACTGACATTTGTCCCAGCAAATGCCATCCTGACGGTGCACACAATTCTTGGCCTGTTATTGCCTGATCTGAAGCATATCAGTCTGCCGATGAGAGCTCTAGCCCTTGCGATACGCTCCTTAATTCTTTTTCTCCACTACTTTGGCCAGTAGCGCGTCCAGCCGTAGAAACCTTGGCACCTATGATACGGCAGACTGCCAGCGCGGTGCCAAAAAGAATCGAGTCCGTATCGCAAAGGTCCCGGCTGGCTTCCAAATAGGTCACCAGCATTGGGTTCAGAGCCCTCACGACAGCCCGATTCCGCTTGCTTAGGGCTATGCGGGTAAGTCGCGGTCGATTTTTGAGAGTACTGCGCGTTTCCATAATCGCCTCTTCCAATGTACTCCTCATTAGCTCTATTTCTAGTTCGTTGTCGGTTTTTTCTTTTTTTGGATTTTTTCTGGGCGTATGTTCCATCATCATTTGAATCAGCCACCACTGGGGTATTCACGGCGGTATCCACGTGTGCGGGATGTTCTGCAACTTGTGGCACCGCATCCTCAGCCGTAGCATTTTCACTTGATGATGGTACAGCCTCACGTCGTAGCCGTTCGAGTTCGGCGTCATCAAATATATTTGAGCAGGTTTTGCTCGGTGACGGTTATAGATGGCTCAAGCTCAGCAAAAAGTCGATGTATTCTTGCCCGATACGTAAAACCTCCAATTTCTCCCCCTATTGCCCTATTGAGATTGTCCAACGCATGCGGCGTATTCCACCAGTGGCGGGTGCCGATTGCTGGGCCTGCGAAGACCCTGCCGTCACCAAGCCTGCTGGTGGGGATGATGGATTAGAGGGGCTACTAGGTAGTCGAGCAGCACCTCGCGCTCGGCTGGCGGTTCGCATGCTGTCACGTCCAGCGCCAGCTCCAGATGCGCCCCGGCGACCCCCAGGCAGCGGCCCTTTGCGCCGTTCTATCAAATTCCATCATCCATTTTAATGGGCGTCATTCAACGGGAGACGCCCAGACCCGGCGCCGTTTCATGGTGAGACCATGTGCACAAGCGGGCCTTTGCACCTTCAACTTATGCCGAGGCACGGCACTAACACCTCTTGGCAAAGTGCTGACTGACTGCGCTCACGTAGCGGTTTTGTCACGTAAAAGTTACGTCGGGGTCGTCATTATTGTTATGATTAATATTTTTAAATATTATTATTATTATTATTGTTTTATTGATATTATTATTGTTATTTATTATTATTATTAATTTAAAAATTATTATTAAAGATTAGCCTTAAAGATGTTTAACAAAGGTGAATTAGAAACATTTGTTTGTTCATTCAGCAATGCATTGTTACCATTATTATTTTTAAAAATCTCCAACTGTTTCAGCAAACACAGTCCGAGACCCTCTTATTACAAGTATTTTCTAACTATTTTCTGTCTTGTCTACGATTTTATGTGACATCGTGATCTTTGATGCAGTGTTTCCAGATCTAGAGGTTTTTCCTCAATCTAGGGATTTTTGGGGGACATTGACGTTTTTTTAGAGGTTTTAATATCACGAAATTAATCTAGAAGTTTTTCTGAAGGTTTTTCACTAGTCTTACCAACTTCCGAATTCTTTTTCAAAACAGATAATGCCGACAATTCATTATCGATATAAAATATCGACTTGATATTTTATAATCGATATGGTAGTATCGTAATTAATTAATCCGTCTTATATTCATAACTTTTTCTATGTTTATGTATTTAACCTATATGTGTGCATAAAATGTAATAGTGTTGGAGATTTAGATTTGTGTGCCTTAGTGATACAAAATTTTATTGAGTAGGTATGCAGTACTGCCTATGTAGTGTTTCTTCCCCCACACCAAAGTTACAGACTTTTTTATTCGTAGCATTAGGTTTGTGTTCTGTCTCTTGTAACTTTTTATTTTTGATAAATCTGATTCACACGAAACTTGACCGAATAAAAATTCAGAGGATTTTTATCCCCCTACATAGGAAAACTTGGGGTTTTTTGGAAAAATGTAGGGGGGAAGGTGAAAAAAATCTGGCAACACTGCTGTGATGTGACAACAGACAACCTACAGATGACTTTTGGCGGGAACTCCAAACGAGGCGGTCGATTTAATAATTTTTACTGTTTTTCATTAAAAATATCCTGTGTGAATATTACCAAAACTTATTTTAGTCAGTGTAAATAATTGTACATTGTGTGAATTATCAAAATGAATGAACCGGAGGACCCAGGTGGAACTCCGAAACGATCCAAAATTGTTCGTAAAAGAGGTACAAAGAAATGTGGACCGGAAGTAGGCGGTTTTGAGGATGACTTTATTCCGTTTTTTAAGCCAGGTTGTCTGAGACTTTATCCTGAACATTGTACAAATACGGACTTTAAAGTTTTTGTTGAAAGCCAGGGTTGGTCCTCGGTTAAAATTGGAAATAACAGCCCAGTTTACTTAAATCATATTTTTACTTCGGGAGGTGAAAGGTGTGGTAGCTTTACATAGAGTCAATGCCAATAAAATTGCGGTTATCTTTAAACAATACAACACTGTAAATAATTTCATCACAAATACAGACTTTTTAACAAAGCACAACTTGAAAGCACATATTCCTGCAGTGCAGATAGAAAAAACTGGAATAATCAGATATGTGCCTACCAGCATTTCGAACAAGGATTTATATACGAAACTGTCTTCGATCTATGAAATTATTTCAGTGAGAAGATTCACGAAAAAAAGTCGATAAAAGTACTGTAGGTCTCAAGACTGTCAGTATAACTTTCTTGTCAAATGTTCTGCCCGATAATGTCCAATATGACCTATTTTCGTTCAGGGTGTTTGAATATGTCCCGCCGTTACAGCAATGCTTCCGGTGCTTCAGGTTCAACCACCCTGCGAAAATTTGTAATGGTAAACAACGTTGCTCGATATGTGCTGGGGAGCATAATTTCAGAGACTGATAAAAAAGAGAACCTGTGTTGTGTCAATTGCAGTGGCCCTCACCTAGCCATTTCCAAATCTTGTCCAATAAAAATGAAAAAAATACTTGAAAAAAAGGGTAAAATTACTTATGCCTCTGTGGCTAATACAATTACGTCATCTGATTTTCCGTCTTTACTGGCACAGTCGAGCAGCATTGTCATAGCGCCTACCATCAATAAGCCAAAATGTACATAAATTAAATAAAAATGTAAAAATTGTAAATAATGTAAATAAAACAGTGCCTGAACCCAACTTGAACCAAACTCAAGGCTCAAATTGCAAACAATAAGAATATTCTGATGGCAATGGTTCAAACTTTAGTTGAATTGAGTAATAAAACAGATAATGAACCTGTGACTACTCTGTTCATTAAAGACTTACTTTTAAAAAATCTGTCACATAATGGACAGTACAGTAAGATACAGAGTTATGTATAGCTCAATACAATATTCAAAGTATACATAGGAAAAAACCCTTATTGTCTAAATTTTTAGCTGAACAAAATGTTGATATATGTCTACTCAATGAAACTTGGCTTAAAGATACTCAGAACTTTAAAATTTCGGGATATAATTCCCACTATCATAATGCCCAAAATGAGCATGGTGGAGTAGCAATTTTGATCAAACCGTATTTTAAATATAATATTATTCAAACCAGATTTTACCAAGATATTCAGACTATAGCATAGGGTTAGTTAATTTGTATTGTAGAATAATTAATATATGTAGAACAATTTTTGTACGCCATAAATGGCAAAACGTCTCGTGTTTTTTTATTATATGTTTACAAAATAAATATCTTTATCTTATCTTATCTTTATAGATATCGTTATATGTAAGTGGTAAACACTTAACGATTCTATGTGTATACTGCCCTCCCTCGAATGGTAACTTCAGAATAAGTAAACTGCGTAATATAATTAGAGATTTGCCTAAGCCAATATATGTGGCTGGAGATTTCAACGCTCACCATGTGGCATTTGGGTGTATGACCACGAAAAGTCGGGGTCATCAATTTAATTGATGAATTTGATCTGTGTGTCCTTAACAATGGAAGCTTCACTACTATTAATTATCCTAACCGAAATCCTTCGGCTATTGATGTCGGCTTTTGTAGTGCTCCAATTACTCCACTATGCTAATGGTGGGTGCATGATGATTGTATGGGTAGCTATCATTTTCCTATGCTTACTCGTGTTTTATTGTCCGTTGATAGAAACCACTGTTAATAGTATTTGGAAATACATCAAGTTATTTAAACTAATAAAATGTAATAATAGAACATATAAAGATGAATTTGTCGTCTCTTAGAGAAATTATCTCAAAATGGATGGAGGGTTATTGATAATCTAGAAAGTTATTTTCAAATTAATAATAGCCTTCAGAAGTCCAGTTTCCTCATAGAACCCTTTACTTGAAGTGAGTTTTTTACAAGTTTACAATCCAGACAAAGCACAGCCCCCGGTTTAGATGACTGTCCATACATTTTGATTAAAAAGCTAAATCAGTCCGTTCAAAAAAAACTATTAGCTATATTGCTCTTTGGCACTTAAAAAAATTCCTGAATCGTGGAAAACACGGTGTGTAATCCCTCTACTTAAGCCTGACAAGCCACCTGAAGATCCTAACTCATATCGTCCCATATCATTGTCATATTGTGTTGGAAAGCTTAATAAAAACATGATAAAGATGCGTCTTGAGTATTATGTAGAGGCGAACAACATCATTCCACATGTTCAATATGGCTTCCGGGGAGGGCGAAGTTGTGCTGACAGCTTCATCTCTCTTTTGTCAGATCTGAAATATGCCAATAATAATAATAAGTCCAGTGTTTGTGTTTTTCTGGATGTTCAAGGTGCATTTGATAATGTTGACCCTGGCATTTTGGTTAGTTCTTTTTGACATTGGTATACCAGACATGCTTTGTCATTGGTTATTTAATTTTTTAACAGATAGAACTTTGTATATAAGACATAATAATATTCTCCATGGTCCCAGAAAGGTCTCCAAAAGTACAATGCAGGGGGCTACATTATCTCCATTGCTGTACAATATATATACTAGTCAAATTCTTAACTTTGTAAATATAGAAGGTGTAAATATTCTACAATTTGCGGATGATCTTGTAATATATTGTACAAACCATAATATAGATTGAGCCGTAAACAATATAAATAATGCTTTAGACCAATTGTACATAATATATTATAATGACAGGTTGGCTCTGTTGGCTATAACTAACTCTCTTAAGGGTTTAAATATTATGTTTAGCTGGTGTGACTTCGGGTGCAATCTATAGTCAGAAGCCACGTCGACTACAGTTGTTTAGCCTACACAAATAGTAGTTGTGTAAAAAAACTAGACATAATTCAAAACAAAGCTCTGCGAATTATTACTGGGGCTATGTGTTCAACTCCCATACGAGCTATGGAATTTGAAACCAAAATAATGCCACTGTGTCTCAGAAGACTTCTACT